GGGGGGGGGGATACTGGGTGAAAGCAGCCTCACCGGCCCAGCGCTGCGGGGTTGGACTCCATCTACCAGGCTGCCGCACAGCGCCGGGCGGGCAGGGCTGCTTCTGCTCAGCATCCCCTGCCGCTTCAGCCTCTATTGATGCCACAGGCCAGATGGAATCAACTGGTGGGCTGGATATTGCCCAGAGGTCTAAACCAAGACTATGGATTCATAACCCATTATCTGGATTAGCTTTCATAACCCCTCAATGGGTTAACTGCTTTGTTTATTTCCTCTGTTCTTTCTACCCACCTTTGTCTCTCAGCAGTGCCCCCTTAAGGGCCTTGTGACACACTATGAGCAACACAAATGTTGATCGGTGTTAGTGCTAGCTAGGGACAGTCACACAATCAGGCCAGGAGGGGCCTGGAGGACTTAAAGGCAAGAAATCCCCATCCCCCTGTTCCCTGCTCCCCCCAGCCCTGGGCTCCCCACTGCCTCCCTCCACCCCACGGGGCATTACTTACTTGTGGCTGCCGGCACTGTCCATCTCAGGGGAACAGGCAGGGAAGGGTTAACCTGTCCCCCCCACACACACACACACTGTTGCAGGGCTGCTGCTCTTCTGGCCCAGGCAGCAGCAGCAGTCATCACTGGACAGGTAGTTTAACTCTTCCTTGCCTGCTTCACCGGGACAAACAGTGCAGGCAGCCACAAGCAAGAAGGGGATGGGGTAGGGTGGGGGAATGGGCAGTGAGCAGGGATCTGGGGTGCTGGGGACAGGCAGTGGGCCTGATCCAGGACAGCAGGAAAAGGGGAGAGTGCTTGGGTGTTTACATGAAGGTGTAGCCTAGCATGGCTGCAACTTAGTGCAACACAAGCTGGGTAGTATGGATCAGAGATAATCCTGCCCTGGAGAATTAATTTTGATCCACATAACCAGTGCTTAAAACCAGTTTCAGATGTTAATGTGCAGACAATCCAAGGGTAAAGAGCTCTAGGAGCTGCCCAAAATTACCACATAACAAGGCCATTTGTATTCAAATCATTGCTTTGTTTCGAAGTTCTGCCTTCTGCAGTCCCTTCATCGTATCTGGAGTAATTCATTGCTTACAAAAGCTTACTGTCTGATTTAGTCTACAAGGTGCAAATCCACCTTGCCTTCTTCCTTCTAGAAACTACCAATGCTCAAGTGATTTGACAATAATAAACGAGGATATGCTTGCAAGAAAGGGAAGATTTCTAGCAGGAAAACAAGTGGGAAGACAAATTAAACCAGCTATACTGATTCTTTGAAAAGCATTTCAGCCATCCAGGCAACCCTAGTACTTGCGTAACTTATCATTCCGCACATAACATTTCTCACTGCTGGTCAGTAAAATTGCTGAGCTCATGCAAGAGGCTCAGGCTATTACTTTTATTTGAATTTCAGCTATACATCTGATCCGGTGGCTCCCAGTGTGCGGGGCACTGAACACAGTAAGCAAAGACAGCACCGCCTCAGAGCCCCTGTGGTCCAAACAGACCAGAGACAAAGGCAAGGGAAAGGAGGGACCATCATCCTCACTCTGATCTGGACAAATTCACATGGGCGGCCTGGGACAGAGCTGCACCCTGGATCACACCTCCCATGTCCCTAGGCAGAGTCTGAACTCTTCAAGCACTGCGGTTCCCAACCTTTTTATATTAAAGACACCTCAGAAATGCCAGCTCTTAGTTTTAGCTTGGTTTTTTGACTACAGAAAAAATAACAGAGCAATTCTTTCCTGTTGCAAACAACTCAGCCCACAACAGAGCGGGATGTTTTTAGCACTATGGGCTGCAATTTGAAATCTCTGGGTGTATCTCATGAATCACATCTTGTGCATCTAACAGTGCTAACACAGCGTGGTGTGACAGGATCCCGAGGTGGCCGCGGGGCCCTGGCTGGGAGTCACAGCGCCACCATGCCAGAGCCTTCACTTCCCATTGGCCACGACCCCACGGACACGCCGTGTCGCAGGCCTTTGAGCGGGCAGAACCTAGACGCAGCTAAAGTCCTATCCGCCCAGACACACGGGGAGTTCGGCCCTGGCAGCTGGGTCAGGTATGGGGGCCCGAACTGCCGCCTCCACCCACAGGAGCCCACAGGGAGGCGCCGCCTCAGGCATGGGGACCCGCCACACAGCCAAGGCCTGGGCCGCCACGGAGGGCTGAGGTGGCGCTGGGGACAGCAGCACCTATCACCGGGGCTGAGGTAACGGGGAGCGGGTGGCGAGCGTCCAAGCCTTTGGAAAAGGCCGTTGGTGACCAGCTGCCCGGCCCCGCCCCGCAGACACGCGCTGACCCCCCGAGGCCACACAAACCGCCGGGGGCTCCAATGGCCCCGCCCCCGGCCCCTCCCACCTGCAGGGGCGTGGCCGCCCTTGGTCTCCATCCCGCCCCCAGCACGTGGCGGCGCCGGGGCAGCCGCGCGCGGACTCAGACGACTCAGTGGCGGCCCGGGCCTAGCGCGGGGGTCGGGACGCGGTTGGCTGCTGGGGGCGGGCTGGAGCCGTCACAACAAAGCCACGTGACTGGGACGCACCATTCTCGTTCCCAAGGGCGGGGGGAGGCGCGTTCAACTTCATCCTAAGCCAGGCGAGCTGGGGGGTGCAGTTGGAATGCTCCGGGGCTGTGCGGGAGCTGCCGCGCTCGTGCGAGAAGTGCGCGGGCTCGTCGATGCGTAGTAGCGGAAGCGTGCGGAATGTGCGGTTGTTTGTGAGGCGGCTCCTCGATGCGGCATGTGCAAAGCCTAAGTCGCCTCAGGAGGCTTTACCTGACTTTGGGGGCTTGCCGCGTGTCTCGAAATAAAAGAAAGGCTTCGGCTGTGGGGATGGTGACTCGCTGCTGTGTTGCGGTGAGCCGTGGCAGTAAATAAGAATAAGACGGATGTACAGACTTACTTGCGTGCTTACTTACATATCTTTTCAGTGAGCAATTTTTTCAGCAAATACCACAACTTTGAGTTTCTAATACGATCATTTCATATTTAAGACGTGGCAGCACACGGGGAGGCGCTCACTGCAGCTCGGGCAGCAGTGGCTGGGGGGCTCCCACAGCCTGAGGCGGGAGGAGAGGGCCGGGAGCTGGGACACAGGGCAGCTTTGGGGAGCATTCAGCAACTCAGGGTGGCAGGGGTTGGGAGCCAGCCCTGAGCTGGGGGGTTGCCCTAGCCTCTGCACTGTCCATCTCACTTGCTCCTTTGGCTTGGGGCAGGTGAGACTTGGGGGCCTCCAGGCCTGGGGCCTGCACGCAGGATGCCTGCCATGGATGTGGGGGTGTCTGAAGGTCTGGGAGGGAGGGAGGGCGGTCGCTGGTGGTAGCACCATGGACATGAACGATTGAGCTCTGCTCAGTCCATAGAATTGGGAACTGATTTTGCCACAGACACAAGTTTCAAGAAAAAAGTGCCTGAGGCAGACAATAGGTTTGGGGACCCGTGGCGCAGCCTGTAGGAGAGCAAAAACGGTGTGGCCCTGCCAAGGTCTTCGTGTGACCTTGTTATAAAACCCTGACAAATCGCACACTGCTGGTTATGACATATCACCCCTCCCTCAAACCCATGTGGAAAATCCTCAAACAATTGCAACCCATACTAGAAAGCAACACTATTCTTAAAGGGATCTTCCCAGAGCCACCCATCCTAGCTTTCAAAGAAGCACCAAACCTTGCCAACTTCATCACCAGAAGCAAACTTCCTCAGACCCAGAACACACAAAATGAATCCAGACTATGCCATGACAAGAAATGCAAAACCTGCCAACACATCTCCACCACCCCCAAAATCACTACACCGCACAACAGAGCCATCAGCATTCGTGGATCTTACAGCTGGATCTCTAGAAATGTAATATATCTCATCCAGTGCACCAAATGCCCTGATGGAAAATACATAGGAGAGACCAAACAACAACTGCGCACCAGAATGAACGCGCACTGGAAACATATCAAAGACAA